GGAATACACCCAACGAAGGATTTAGGGGTGTTTCAAAGGCTTCGACATGAGTAAAATGCATGGTTCGCACACCCTGAATGGTAGTTCAAGTCGTAGCCCCAAGAGCCCTAAACCCTAAACCCTAAACCCTAAAACCCAAACCCTAAGCCCTAACTCGCAGGATCTAGGCCCGGATTGAAGTTTCGGGCTGAAGCACTAGGGCGGTGGGGCTCAGTCCTTCTGAGAGCGATCTCAGAACCCTGGGACATAGATCCCCATTATCGGCAGCCCACAGACTTTCATGTAGCGGCCTTAGTAACTAGAATAGGGTTTTGGGTTTGGGGTTTTGGGTTTAGGGTTTAATGTAGGGGCCTTAATAATTAGAATAGGGTTTTTGGGGCCCATAATACTATAAATCTCCTAAAGAACCCCCAAAGTAGCATTGGTAATTCCTTAAGCCCCTATGAAATCTACTAAGGAACCGGCAAAGTAGCATTGGTAATTCTTTAAGCCCCTATACGTATGTTGACAACATGCTGACGCAGGAAAGGTGCAAGCCGGTGCCTGCATGGCACAGTTTGCGAGCCTGAACAGGCGGCTCAGAGCAAAGATTGGGGGACCAACGGGGGCCATTAGCATTCTGGGGGTTTCAGGGTTTAGGAGTGTAGAGTTTAGGGTTTACGAGTGTAGGGTTTAGGGTATGATGGTGATGATGATGATGATGATGGTAATAATGAAGATGATGGCAATCATGAAGATGACGATGATGATGGTGATCACCATTAATTACACCAGTACCACCTTGCTCTACCGATCTGCCTCCATACCTACATATATGTATACAACTATCCGTGTATCCATGTTTATAGTTCCACGTGCATATGTGTATCTGTGTTCATCTTTATCAAATGCTATTGCAGTACACTTTTTTATGTTATGACGATCAACAACAAACTACTCAATGTATCACGATGCAACATACTGAATATTTTGATACATTAACCCCACTGTTGCTAAATCAGGCTATGTTATGCTATGCTCTGCTATGTTAAGTTATGTTGTGTTCTGTCATGCCATGTTAGGCTATCGCATTTACTCTGATATATACAACGTGAAGAAGACGATGAGCTCAATGCGGTTTTTCAGAGGGAGCAGAATCGCCCGTGTAGAAACCCTAAACCCTAATCTTCAAATTTTAAAGCCTACACCCTAATCCTTAAACCCTTTTTGCAGCAGGCTTGCGTAGTCTCACCTTAAGCCGCAATAAGGATCCTACTATTTAGAGTACTATCTTTAGGTCCCCTATTTTCGGAACCCCCCTTATAGTTTAGGGTTTAAGGTTTACTGGGTTCTTGTTAAGGGATTTAGTTTAAGTTACCATAATAATGAAACCATGGTAGTTGTTTACTATAGATCCCTATTATGGTAACTTAAGTTAAATCCCTTAACAAAGAACCCAGTTTAGAGGAAGTCGCTTTGAGAAAGCCCGGTGGCCTGGAAGTTCGACAGGCACCTGGTGCCTCGGGTTTTTCAGCCGCTCATGCCATCGAAAGGCTTGATGTGGCGGAAACTGTTTAGGATTAGGGTTTATAGGGTCAAAATTTGGGATTCGGCTTCGAGAGATTTTGGAACCGTTTAATCTTGGGTCAGGGGAGAGGGCACCTGTATTTGGCCCCCAGGCTGCAAGAGCATGCCCAACTACAGACAAGGCACACCTTACTAACTACGGTTTTCTGATCTGAGGTTTGGCAGCGAGGTCTTCCAAAAAGGAAAGACTCGGCGGATTCTGCTGATGAAGAGACAAGACACACGGCAAAACATGGGGCCTGATATAAATCACGTCATTTCCGAAAGTCCGCGCGATGCTCTCTGCGATTGTTCCAGAACTAGGGCGGATTAGGTGATGTTGCCATCACAAGGTCACGGGGAAAAGCGCGACTGCCATCCCTGCCAGGAGGGCAACAAAAATTCCCAAAGCCCACCGAACCTTGAAACCCTAAGTAATTACCTTCGGCCCTGAACCCAGCAAGTCTCTAAACCCCTAAAAAAAAAGGAGGGACTTTTCAGGCGATTGAGGCCTCCACTGAAAAGACCATTCAAGGCACCTTTCTCCAAGAAGGCCAGCAGGCCGCATTCGAAGGCCGCGCAAAGGACCAGAAGTCGGAGCTCCATCTTCGAGGTTTAGGGTTTAGGGGTTTTTTTTCCCACCCGCCCAGCGGGTTTAGGGGTTTAGGGTTTAGGGCTGTGGGTTTAGGGTTTAGGGCAGTGGGGCTTCCAGCTACTACTCTGCTATATAGCCGAGAATATCACATCATACTTTTGTGCTTAGACGGTTAACTACAGGTTGAGTGCTTGGAGGCTTAGATGGTTCCTAAACCCTCAACCCGAAAGCTGGTCCGATACAGTCGTTGGAAGCTAGGGGGTGTTGAGATGAAGGCTTTAGTTTCGGCCATGACGGTCCACTCGTCTGTGGTCCGTTTTGGGGGTTCAGGGGCTCTGTTGCTCCCGGAATGGGTTTAGAATATTCTGAGAGTGTGGCTACTAGTATGGGTTGCTCTGGGTACTACTATCGTGAGCTTATGAGGCTCCGGTACATCGAATCATGACACGGCTCTCCTCCTCTCTCTTTCTGTTTCTGTCAGTATGTGAATAAGTTGCAATTGGGATGAGTCCGGATGCCGGTGCGCACGAAAGGGTCGGAAAGAAAGGATACCGAGAAACAGATGATCTCCGAACAAACGGACCGCAGTTGGTCCAGGAAGTCTCTTCACTACCAAACTCCTCGTAGAGAACTCTCAATGTCCTCACCAGGCTAGCGGTCAGGTGCGTGATCCCAAACTGTCTCAGAGAACGCATGAAAGATCTCTGTAGATGCCATCATCTCTCATCTTTGCATCCCGTATGTCCGAATCCTAGCCGCATCCCGACAGAAACTACTCCCGGAAAATGGGTGGCAAACTATTTGGAAACAGAAGTTTGCTATTGAAGGACAAGGCTTCTGTCCCACGTCACATGAGACAACACTTCCAACCGTAGGCTGCAAGTGATTTAGGGGCATTGACAATTAGAGCAGGGTTTTGGGAATTCCTTATTAATTATTATGATTATAGTATGGTATAATTGCCCCAAACACTGTTCTAAATATCAAAACCCCCTATACTATCTCAGTTAATTAGAATATACCTTCCCACGCGGCATACCAAACCCTAAACCCTAAACCCTAAATCGCAGCCAAAGAGCTCTGATGGGCACTGGACGTGCCAAGTCCCGCGGAGGTGGACTCTCAACTGACTTCTCCCCACGCCAAGCTTTGAGCACAAAACGGTTTAGGGTTTAGGGTTTAGGGTTTCAGCGAGCGGCAACTGGCGCAGATAGTGTCTCATGAGTGATGCACCCCAATTCCACACCTCCGCAGTGTCCCATCTCTGTTGCTGGGGATTGCTGTGCTAGCTTTGGGCTGGCCTTCGTGCATCGAATAGAAAGGCCCCCAAAATGAGCAAAGAAAAAAAGATGGAGAGCATGTTGTACAACATCGAATTGGGGGCTTTCCGGAAATACGGGACCCTAATATAGTACCCTAAATAATAGGATCCTTACTATAAGGACCCCAAAATAAGGTACCCTATTTTCGGTTCTGGAGGAAGAGAGCCGAAGAAGTCTCCTCACTGCCAAACGTCAACCCCACGCCCCGAAGAGCCAACATCCTACTCTTGGTGCCCGCAGTGGAAGTCTTGGTACGATCCGACTTTAGGGTCAAAGTAGGTCAAGGCAGAGTCTTGTGTCGTTGTGCAATTCGGACTAAGCCCCAGACCCTCGGCGTTCCGTGTGCTAACTCTTTCAGGCTGCACATTCTGCAAACGCCTGCATTACCTGGTGCAGTGCTGCAGCCCATCAAACGACAGTGTGCTGCGATGCTTCAACCAATGCAACATGCGCATCGCCCACTTGCACGCTTTGCCGAATTGGAATTAGAACCAACCGTGAATCCAACGCTGCTGACTGCGACAAGAAACTGCCTGACACACCTCTTCCTGACATGCATAAACTAATTCTAAAGCGATGCATCTGTAAGAAAGCATTGACGAGAATGTCGGATCTATGCCAAGAAATTCGGGCAGGCATTGGGCTCTCCGCCCGCACAAACACCAACACACACAGACAGACAGACAGACAGACAGACAGACAGACAGACAGACAGACAGACAGACAGACAGACAGACAGACAGACAGACAGACAGACAGACACACACACACACAGAAACACACGGGGCCTCGGTACACAGGTACCTGGTGAGTGTGCTCAACCCCTCTACTTGAGCAGTGCAGCCTATATGCCACTCAGCTTTTCTCGTGCTGTAGTGCTCTTTTTGCGTGCGGCCAAAGGCTCTTGTCATGTTTGTACTACTGTAGTGCATGTTTTCTTATACTTGCTGTCTCCATTCTTTACTGGTACTATAATAGGACGAAGCTTGTGGCATTGTAACAGTCTCGCTTTGGATTTCTATTACGGTCTTTGCTGTTGCATTTCCTGTCGCGATTATTGCCTTGCCGGGAAACTTGTGCTTTTAGGGCAATGCCTGCGGTTTCTCCATCGCTGCTGTCCATCTGCCCTCCTACCTTCCTTTCGTCCTTCATCTCAACCTGCTGAGCTTCTCTCCAATTTTCCATCGCATGGCAGTATGGGCAAGCGAGACACAGAACGCCAGGCGTCCCCCAACCGAGACGCCGAAAGACACGGCACGGTCACAAGCCACTCAAACAGCGTGAGCCTGCGATGGGTGTCGTATGGTGTCGTTCTCAGTGCAGAGAAAATACACAGTCTCTGCCTCGAGCTGCAGTTGAACATGCTTAAGCCTCAAATGCTCTGGCCGGTAACTTGCGAAAAAAGTTCAAACGGTGAGCCCGGGACAGCATGCGCAGTGGGGGCAAGGGACAGAAGCCACTGCTTCCAAGGAGGCGCCAGTGTTGCTTCGAGCACTGGCGCCCCCCTTTCGTAAGGACAGGTGCATTTCTGCACTTCCTCAGACAAGCACGGCATCCTGCTCAGAGAGACGGCGCTGGGACACCTCAGATGCAGCTCGTGCACCCGCACGTCAAGCCCAAAGCTCTGGCACTGACTGGAAATCTGCGACGGCATGCCCCTGGGATGCCTCGCCTCCTCGGCCGCGGCCTTTGCCTTCGCGGCCGCCTCCTTCTTCTGCTCCTGGATCTTCGTCGGCTCCTCCTGAAAACGTCGCACAGCTTGCGACGCAACTCCATGGGATGTCACGGGCTCCTTATACTTTGAGAAGGCCCCCAGATCCACGTCGCTCTTGCTACCGCTCCAGTAGCCGTTCCTGGGCAATCTGCAAGCTGAGTTTGTGCTACGGCACTTGGAGTTACTTACACCTTGAAGTCGACGTCTTCCAAGACCAAGAATCTTGAAAACGAAGAGGTACCCCACGCTGGCATCGTTCACGCATTTGTTGAAGGACTTATCGGCTGAGATTTTCTCCTGTGCTTGCACGTGGGCAGGAAGAGCACACTGCTCTACAGGCTTTTTGAGCTGCTTTGGAATTCGGTCCACCCCTCTCTTCCTCTTCTTCCGGTCTAATCAACACTCACTCAACACTGCAGCAGCGGTGCCATTCCATCGAAGGTCAGAGCCCTCGGCAACAGGAGGCAGGGCTACTGCGACTGGCTCTGAACTGCATCACTTGTCCCGGAATTCGGGCTGTACCCGAAACTGCAAGTGGTGATGAAAACCATGCTTGCCTGGTTCCTGCTTCTTTGGGGAAACAAGCCAAATCTCAGATCACCTGACTGACACTTCGAACTTAAATTGCCAGTTATCCGATCACAATGCTGGCTAGCGTCTGCTTCTTGGTGTCTGCCATGACATTCAGGCTGCCGAGCTTGACGGCGCGCTCCTCCTGAGACACAAGCCATGTTGCGCAGAACTGTGTTCCCAACCACCTTCGTTTGAATTGGGCAGCTCCCGCATTCACTCGCGCCAAAACAGCCTCTGAGAAGCTCTGGCCCTCATGCATCAAAGCCCGCTGGTGCCCCCAGCCGCACCTTGATTATGCCAGTCAGGTCGCCTTCGTTGACCCTCGTCATGCCTTCCAGGCACTTGCCCAGGGGGCCTTTGCCGATATACCTGGGTCACAGCCGCAGCAAGCATCCAGGCTAGGAGCCACAACGCAGGCTCTCTTAACAAGAGCCCAGGGTGCGCCAAACCTTCCAGGTTCTGCTGCAACATCCGGTCAACGAAGGCGATCCGCTCAACGACGCCCATGCCCACGACGTTGTTCTGGTTAAACGTGGACCAGGCGCCGTGTCCATTGAGAAGCGAGGCAACCACTTCAACCTTCAAAGCGGAACCCGAAGATCTATTTTCAACGACCCTACAGTTGCCTATGCCTCTGCTGCCGAAGCTCCATGCACATTTGGGCAGGCACGCACTTTGCGGCATAGCTGTGGTCAGCATGAGCAGTGTTCTGAAAGACCATGAAATAGGAGCCTCGGCATACATGTAGATACTCTGCTGGGACCTGGAGAGGAAAGCACTCCTGCTCCTGGTAGTGGTTCGAACCAAGAAGCACTCAGGATTGGCCTGACTTGATGTCTCATGTTCCCCTATTCTGCGGCAGGAAGTGTACTTGAAAACCTCCTCTGCGATCTCAGCCTTCGAGCCGTAGACCCTCGGTGGGCGAGCTATCACATCTATGAAGCAGGTTTATCAGGTCGCGCGGATCAAGTTTATCGTCTTGGAGGTGAAAGGGTTGAGGACATCATACGCAAAACTGGCAAAGGTTGCTGGGAGCGCATCTGAGCGCGAATTCGTGTTGACGTCGTTCTCCACCTGCTCCGCTTCACCTGCCAGCTTCGGCACCACTGGGGTCAGGTTTTAACATCGGGATCCCTGCTCTGAAAACAACGCCGCTTACGAAAACCAATTCGCGCGGCCGACACTCCCATCTGATGGAAACAATGATGAACGCGATGCTCGTCATGATTGTCTCGGCGAGTACCACCAGAGACACTTGAGGTGGGGGGCAAGGTTTCGTACACAGGTGCCCTAACGACCTGCAAACTCCCGGACCGCAAGACGAACCCAAGCTGGCCAAGCTTCGAAATAACAAGCACAAAGCAACTTCCGATCAGATGCCTGGAGCGCTGCAACACTCTCCCATCATTTCGAGCTTGCCATACCGAGGGCTTGCCTGACACTGTGATTCTTGGAGGCAATTCCCATAATGCAACATCTCTGTAGACCGATGTTGCAGCCTTGCTCTGTGCGCGCACGCTTTTCGACAAACGACCGACCGGCAGCGTCGTCAAACTGATGACCGAGACTCCCGAAAACCTCACCCTCATGGCGCAAGCGACACGACACCTCAATTTCAAAGTTGCACTGACAATCCGAAGCAACAAGCCCGCATGGACCTCGCGCAATGAATCAGCTTTGTCCTCCGTCGGTGCTTGTGGGTTGGGTCTGGGCCCAAAGGCCTACATTACGTCTATGAGGAGTGACCCCAAGGACAGGGATTGGATCGGAGTCTGCCATCCTGGATTTTGCGGACGCTGGGGA